AAAAGGTTTTGCTACAAGGCGGGAAATTATGTGAAATGAAAACTTCGCGAAGTGGCGATATAATGTAATAGTTAGCGCTTTAAAAAAGAGAAAGGAATGGAAATTACCCCAAGTAAAACATGTGTAGGGTTTAATAATCCAAATGGATATATTATCTGCCAGAAAGACGAGCAAAATACACTAGTGGCGCTGTTTGAAAAATAAGAGATTTGCCCGAGCCAGTAGGAAGAATAACAAGGACATCTTTTCCAAGAACAATCTCTTTAAGAGCCTTTTGCTGTATTTCTCTAAATTCGTCCAAGCTAAACGACTTCAGAGCGTTCAAACGTCTCAAACGACGAATTGTCCGCCATTTTGTTACACTGCGACGACGGCTGCCTGCTAATTTATTAATGATATGCCCCTGAAAATATGGGGGGCCACTCGCTGATTGGTCGAGACTCACAATAGCGAACCCCATGCGCCCAGCCGTCAGGGGAGAGAGTATCGCGGGCGCACGAAATCCCGACGGCTGGAGAATGAGCCTACACTCCGCTTCGCCAAAAAAAATTCCTTAAATGCTTTTGGCTTCATGGTCGACAGCGCACGAGAAAATCCGGAGATATCCTTGGTAGGTTGTTTACATGAAGTTTTCTCGGACACAAAGGGCTTAATGATGCAGTTGATTAAGCTGTTAGGATAATAAAGCCGTCAAGTCGTCTGCACTCATCTGAAAAATGATCCCACGAAGACGATAGTCGGTAAGCACGACCAAGCATTGTTCGCATTAAACATTGTTTATAACGTACATCCACGTGGCTGTCATAATGCAAGAGCAATCCTGTGTTGGTCGAGTTAATAAACACTTTGGTATCCATTGATGTAGACTTATTGATTAGTTCGATTCCGACMAAAGGCAAAATATTTAGAATAAAAATTAACGCAAGTTAATACTTGCGTTAATTTTTATTCTAAATACTTTCTCTAAATCGTTATTAGTTAAAGTTCTTAAACGTAACAATCAGCTTYACTTGTTCAGAAGACTTGAACAGTGTAGCAAGAAGCAAATCAAATGCAATGGTGCAATTCAGTTTCTACGTCTGTGTCAAAACTTAGATCTGACACGCAACTTTTKCAAAAGTTGACCAAACAAAATCAAACAAATGGCGAAAGTCTTCTCTAGTGTTCTCAAGAAACGTCCTAGAAGAGGAGTTGAAAACCAAAATAAAGCACAGCAATGACCTAAAGAAAGAGATCAACGACATCTATGATGAATTTCGTACATCATGTTCTTCGAMCTCGCTATCCTACGAATCATGTCTATCTTACGTAAGAAATCACKTTTGATGAAACCATGGCTCGCCTTACTAACAAGATATCACATCTACTAAAYAAAGATCTGGACGTTGACGAGCACATCATCAACTTGTCATATCATCATTTGTCGTTCTTTCWGAAGCTGGTGTYATGCAGAGGTTTGAAATTCTCATTCCCAACATCAACAAACTCACCGATCGAAATTAAAGCCAGCTTTGAGAAAGCCTTCTGGTCTTTAGATTCAATTTTACCGATGGAACAAGTCAAGGTCAACATCGATCTCATGCCGACAGCCCATACATTTCTTTGTAAATTTTGCCGACTTTTAAACGCTGTATCTCCTTGAATTTTCATCGAATCATGCTCAAACCTGCTCAAAATTGTTTTAATTATTTTCTCTTATATTTGCATATACTTAATTAAAGTTTAGTCCTTGAGAATGGAGTCAGGATGACTTCGAAACGTCGGATACTTGCGTTGATTTTTATTCTAAATACTTTCTCTAAATCGTTATTAATAAAAGGCAAAATACCGTTGTTTTCAAGTTCCTTTGTGAAGCGTACAGGAGGGTTGCAGGCATTGAGCAAAACAAATTATCCGATGCGTCAATGGCAGAATTGCCAACGTGTCATCAACATATCGACTGTAGTAGGTGGGCATCTTACCATCACGCTCCAGTTTTTCCTCGATGGAACACATGAAGACATTAGCGATTAGAGAATTAGAGGGCCAAGGGGTGAGCCCATTGCTACTACSTCAAATTGCTCATAGAGAACTCCATCAAACTGAAAAAGCTGGTCTTTAGTTGCTAGGTTGAGGAGCTTGGTAAGGTCTTATACGTTTCGTTTCTTTAAATTTTATTATTTCATGTTTTTTCCAAACAACTGCTTATCGTTATTCCGTTCAGGAATAAGCTTTTTTTCTAAAATGATAACAATTTCTGAATGTTGGAGTTCTAGAAGTCGCCTGCGGCTCGAATCTATATATCCCGATAAAACACGCACTCTCGTTCTATAAACAACACATATTAAAACTGACACGTTTGCTAGTGTTGGGTTGTCTCAATGGTGACGATCGTGTTGTAAATCTGATACAACACTAGTGTTGTATCAGATTTACAAGATAATTCACCTGAACAAATAGACAGCCCTTACTGGAGTAATAAAGCATGCATTATTTTAATAATTAAAATGAGTTTTATATGTAATGTTTACAACACTCTCCACGGTTGTAATTTCTATTGTGATTTCCTCATTAATTATTCATGAGTTTTACAATATAAAGATACCATGAGCGCCCGTGTAACATACAACACGGACGCGAATGTTGTAAACGACTTTGTGGATAGATGGTCAGAAAGATTCGGAATTTGGAACTATTAACATTCTTTTCGAAATTCCTATTTTTTCACTAAAGTAGAACTTTAGTGTATCGAGTTTTGATATATATTATTTATCAATGATAGGCCATCTACATTTTATTTGAAATGCAGTCACTCTGAATCCCTCTGGCGACCAAAAGCCTTAGCGTTAAAACAATAGAATGTTTTGGAATGTTTTGGTGTGACGTAATTATGTGTTTAACCATGTACAGCTAAACAAAAAACATTTACCTAGTACGTTACTTCATGCGCATTCTATGTGGSATGCTGACTGTGCATGATCAGGTTATTCCATTCAACTCAAAACCTATTTTTACGACCATTTCTCCAAGAATAGTAAAGAGTTTGAACACTCCTGTTCGTTTATTACACACYACTTCATGCATGTACAACAGGTCCCAGGTGATTATCAAGTAAGAGTACGAGAGAGCGAACCAATCACAATGCACGATTTATTAAGATCAAAACTATCCTTAAATCATTGATCCTCGGTCGCTTTGATTATTTGTTTTTTTTTTAATGAAAGGTGCTCATCAAGGGTTGGCATGAAACACTGGCCCCCAGGAAAACAAACTATCTCAATCCAACGGAACTGCAATACGCCAGGAAGCATCATTCATGAGCTTCTGCACGCAATTGGTAAGACATAGCTTTACAAAAAACTAGGCGCATAGATGCTTGAACTTAGGATTCCTTTAAAATACCTTCTAATTTTCATACCATAACGAGACTGAGAATTTCATATAATCATATATAAAATGTAAGGCTCGTACATTTACAGAAGAATAATTATTCAGTCGACTAAAACATATCAAACCTCATCTGAAGAACAGTGATGTTCTTCTAGAAAACRAAAAAAARWT